TTGCCGGAGGGGGAAAAGGGAGGGGGTTGGAACAGCTGAGTTGCGGGCCGGGCGGCGAGCAAATAAGGCTTGAGCGTAAACCCAGAGGATGCCCCGGCGCGCCCCGCCACGTCCCGGGTTACGATACAGCGCCACTATCGCGGTGGAGCCGTGCGGCGCAAGTTATTTCAAACCCCCCTCCTCTTCCCCGTTCTCTGCCCGCCCTGCCTTCCTTGCCAGACGCGCTGCTATTGAAAACCGCAACGGCGGTAGCGGTGGATTCTCCGGCGAGGTCGGGTCGCCCCAAACGGGCTGCCGCTGCTCCTCTGGAGGCCGTTCCCAGAGTCGTTTCTGGGTGCCGCCCTGGAGGACGTCTTCTCGAGGACATTCTGCGGGGAGGTTGACTCGCCCGGGCGCCCTTGGGAGCTGCCCGGCCTGGTGGCGGCCCTCTTTGTAGGACGGATGGTGACTTGGACTGCTCCTTTTACTGTTGTGGGGCCGGTTATGTTGGTCAGTTCGCTGCTCTAGTAGGCAAAAATTTCAACTGAGGCGTCCAACTCTCGGGGCTCGTTAATGTCTTAGATGTCGGTGCTGGTAGCCGACGCATTGGCCCCTTCCGGGAATTTGTTTCCGGGTTCGCCAAGTCACTTCCGGCGTACCGTTAAGCCGGATGAGGACGCAGCACGCTAAGAGCTCGTTCCGGGTCCATCTTCTTAGGGCCTCTTCATTCCGCCCGTCTCTTCTGTTTTTTTCGCTCGGCTTCGGGCGCCATGGGGATACTGAGAGGGGGCGAAATTAATTAGTTGATGGAACGGTTTCCATCATCGTGGAATCGGCTCGGAGCCCAAGGACCTCAGGCTCGTCGAGAGTAAGGTCGGCGCTGCTGCATTGCAGCTCGCGCTGAGCTCGCAGGACTTCCTGCCCCCTGTTTAGCCGGAACTGCCCGCCTCCCCCTCCCTCCTCCCTGTCCTCATCATCCTCGCTCCTCGGGGTAGTACGTCCGTCGCAGAGCGCGTGGCGGGGCGTGGCCCACGCACTTCCGCATTAAATTCTCATGAATAAATGAATACGGCCAAATTGCAATCTCGGGGAAAATCAACAACAGCCTCGGATGCGCCCCGTTCCGGACCCGTCCAGAGGAGGGGAAGAGGGGGAGGGGTGACGAGTGCCGCGAGGCGTTTAGCGACGGCCAGAGTTGACGGGAGCCCTCCACGCCCCGACGCAACTCGGAGCGCGTGCTTGGGACGGATCGACTCTCTCTCCGACACCTGGTTCGGAGCGGGAGGAGCTGGTCGAAGAGGAGTAGGCCCTGGGGCCGAGTGGACCCCGCCCGAATCACGTGTGGACGGCGAGGGTCCTCGTGGGGGAGGCCGCTGGGGACCCCTCCTCAATGGGGTACTGGGTCAAGTGAGGGAGGCTCTGATGGGCTCGGGGGGCGCGGCGGGGTGGCGGCCAGGTCAGGTACGCGCCGCACGCAGGGCGGGAGGAGGGGAGGGAGAGCACTTGGGGCGCGCGGAGCATTGCGGAGCAAGCCGTGCGTGATAAACTGAGCGGCCGAGTGGCGCCGAAGGGAATGGAGATTTATCGATTTGGGGTAATGTACGGGCGCGTTTGTCGTTACCGTCTCGTTGTGTTGCTGCTGCCGCCGGCTGCTGTTGTGTGATCGACGGCGTGCTGCACGCGGCCCCTCCTGGACGCTCTACCCGCCTGCCCTAGCTAGCTGCCCCGCCCTCACTTCCACCCTCACTCCTACTACCCTCTCTCCTACTCTCACTCCCGCCCCACCCACTTTCGCCGTCCTGCCCGACGGCTGCTGATGCTGCCGGGGCAGCTTGTTAACTTGTAAATTGCGACGTCCCAGACCTACTTACTTTTAAGTTATACGGAAGCGAGGGAAACTACCTCTAAGCTGGGTGGCGCGAGGGGGCTAGTGTTGCGCGGGGTGCTGCTCGGGGTGCGGCGGGGCGCGGCCCGGCTGGCGAGAGGGACTTGTCGCCAACAAGTTGCTGGATGCTTTGTAACTTCTCGATGTGTAGCGAACATCTGTTACGTTCCCTCCGAGGCCGTCCCTAGGCCGCGCCACGCCGCGCCCCGCGCAGGCGGCAGCCGCCCGCCTGTGGGTGGGTGCGGCCCTGTTCGTCTAGCATGTTTGGCTGTTTTCATGCGCACCGAGCACATAAGCTTTCATATTCGGCTTCTGATTCGTTGAGACTACTAATGCATTTGTTTTGTTTGTGCACATGCACAATTTTACAAGAAAGGAAATGCCAAAGACTTTGTCAGGAATTGCAATTGTAATATAATTAAATTAAGATCTGAGGAGTAGCAATCTGAAGGATAATGTTGACCGTGCTCCGCATCCCCCATCCGCACTCCGCGCGCGGCCTGCAGCAGGCGGCGGCCCTGACCGTCCAACACAGTTTCCCCCGTAGCCTCCCGGCGCCCGGCGGCAGTCTCTCGATTCCCCTCCTCTAGATTCTCCAACTGCTGACGGACCGGCGGCGGCGCGAGCGTCAGAGTGTAATTGAGTTTGGAAAGTCGCTCCATCCATACCGGGGGCGGAGCCGCGCGGGACCTTGCTCAATGCAAAGGGGTTGCCGCTCTGCTCTTGACACACTCTATATTTACGATCCTTAAGGGAAACCGCCTGCTCCGCACCCCCTCCAAAAAGCAGGTACTTGAAGTGCATCTTCTTGAAACAAAGTGCATCCACTCGAATAAACTAAGTGCATGCACCTGTTTAGAGAAGTTGCACTTGACTAAGTACCTGCTCTTTTTAGCTGTGCGTGTCTATCTCCACCTGGACAAGTCGTCCGCGTGTCCGCCGGCCGGCTGAACAGACACACGGGTGGGAAGCGCGAGCTGCTCCGCTTCCGCCCACACCGCTCCGCATCCAGCGCACGCAGATACGCGCCGGCACAGCACCCGCCCGCGTATGTATACGCAAAGCACATAAAAGAACAGATAAATCTCGAGAGACGGAAAATTAACGTCACAGCGAAAGGAAAGCAGGGTGGGGAGGGGGAGTAATTTACAACCCCCACGTATGTCGGCGCCCCTGCAGGGTCTCGCACGCACACACGCGCGCACACACACACACACACACACACACACACACACAAGGGGGCGAACTCGAGCCTTTCCGCGCGGGGGGGACCACCACGGCCCGCCCGGGCCCAGTTCAGTTGGGTGCGAAACAGATTGTATGGCGGAGGAGGGGACCACGAGGGGGGCAGCCCTCCCCCTCCTCCCCCACAAATCAAGCGACGATTGAAATATCACTCGGGGCCTTTATTTTTGGTCCTGTTTTGTGCCGCGCCGCGACGGTTTTCTTCCCTGCTGGTCGTATATGTGTTCGTGTGCCCCCCTCCTTCCCGTGTGGCGACGAGTTGGAGCTGATTTACAGCGTGGCGAGGTCGCGGCGCCTCAGCGATACTTTGTGTCGGACCTTTTGAGAGACTGAGGGAATGTGAAGCTGTTTTCTCGCACTCTCTAATCGACGGATGTCGAAGGCGAAATGTGCCCCGTTTTTCTTACCGAGTCGAACGGCGGTTCGGTTTGTTTGGAAATAGAAACGAGCTGCGTCTGGTATGACAATGGTTGCGGGTAGAGTGTGAAGATGGAAGAAAGGGGTGTTTGCTGTCTGTCGACCCCGCTGCTCCCTCTTGGTTCACCGCTCGTCTTTGTCTGAGCTCGGAGGATAGCCTTTCAATATACTGCACTCGTCTCTCTCCCTCTCCCGCCGTCACCGGGCCCTCAGGACAGTTCCTTGTTCCCCTTTCGCCTTGGCCTCCCATCCGTTTTCCGAGCAACGATCCATGCCGGTCGGACATGAAGGGGTGAGAGGGGCGAGGGGGGCGCTTACGAGTCCCCTATACCCCGCCCAGTGGTGACAGCAACTATGTGAACTGGGGTAGCAGGGGCTGTAAATTCGAAAGGAAAGAGGAGGAAAGGAAGAAGGGCGGGCAGCTGGCGTGGCGTTATGAGACAAGGCATTGATGGCTATAATTTTGCGACATGATTTGTTGCCTTCCCCCACCCCTTACTTCTTTTTTCCGCGTCTTTCGCCCTTCTGACCTATCTCTCTCGCTCGCTCTCCCGCTCGACAACACGTTTACGTCATCTTTATCGTTTCGAAGAAATGGAACTATAACCAACTTTGAGCAGCAGCGCAGTGGCCGCTAGTATCGGCTGGCCCTCGCCCCTCGGGCCAACACAGATAAAAGTAGCTCTGTCTGCGTCGCTCCTCTGGCGTGCCCTGCGAAGAGAGGGAGAGGGGAAGAGAACTGGAGGGGGAGCGGAAGAGTTGATTCAGCATCCCTCCACCCCGTCCCGGCCCACGCAGAGATAACATCGATGAGACCAATGTGTAACCAAGATCGAGATCTAATTGTTCGCCGAAATAAACCCTTCCGCGGTTGAGGGAGGGTCGACGCATCGGACCGCAGTGCCAGAGAGTGCCACCCTTTCTTTCTGCCCCCCCCCCCCCTCCCTCGCGCCTGGTGACTTTCCTCACACGGGATCGCGCGCATTATCTCTCTCTCTCTCTCTCCCCCTCTGTTCTTCTTCCTCCTCGATCCTCCTTCCGAACTAACTTGCGCAAGCGGAGCAATAAAGTTTATTAATGGTGAATTACTTGGAGTCCATTACTCAGAGGAAGACCATCCCCTCCACACACACCACCGTCCTGCCGAGCCGACCTGATAGTGAACTTCGTATCTAGCGCACACCCACGGCGTTTTCCTGAGATTAGAAACCGAGCGACCAATGTGCCGGAACAAGGCCTCCGGCCGGTTGACCGATCCTTACGTGGATTTTGCTTTCAATTATGTCCTGATTTGTGGTGATGCTGCACGGAGGAGGAAAATAAAATAGGAAGGTAGGGATTCTCGGTTGTCGAATTAGGACTAAACAAAGAAATGTGTGGAAATTAAATTTGCAATTTATTGACAAATCTATCTGCGATGAGGATCGTGGTGTCATCGCGTTTACGTATACTCGAAACACAAACTTGGCATGTTAAACATATTTTAATTTGCGTTTGAAAACTCTGTTAACGAGCAACTTCGCACAACTTTTGCCCTTGTGTCTGCCCTTGTGTAGTGAAGCGCTCTTCTTTTGCGCACTTGGATTTTCTGTGATCGTACGTGACCTTTGACGGTGTCGCAGAACTTTGTAATCACTTGATTCGAGTACTTCACCTGTTGATACTGCACAACTGCTCGTTTGCTGTAGCTGGGTCCTTACAGCTTACCCGACTGCCGTCATTTTTGTTGCTCATGCTAGAGTAAAGCTCTCATGTCTTCTCAGTCTTAAATCTGTTGAGATAGCGGGCTTATCGCGACGAATGTGCAAAAGTCCTACATCCTCTTGAAACAGTTGTCTTTTGCCGTCCTGCGCTCCTTGACGCGTGTTGATGTTGACTTCGTGAGTGACACTCTATACCTTTTTAACGTCTAAGGACTTCTGCCCCGTTATCGTGTCAAGTGGAGGCGCTAGTAGACGCTTCTTCCAATAACTGCATGTTACATGCACGAAACAGAGCATCGCTCTCAGCTTCAGGTGCTGATGACTTTATTCTGATTCGTTAAACTGGTGTGTCACGCTGCCGCAGACGAGTTCATCAGGCTGACTGGGCTTCGCGTCGTAGAGTGGACTCTCGCTGGGCTGCTCGGCCGTGTTCGGTCCGCGGGGACGGTGTGGCTGAGGCTACTGGCCGTGCTCACGGCAACTGGTCGCGGCTGCGACTGGACCTGCATTCCGCTCGCCTCCGCGGCCCTGACGCACGCCAGGTAGGCGGGGACGCCCATCAGGAGCATACCGACCAGCACGGCCACCACGGCGATGAAAGCACGGTCGCCCATGTCCCACGAGTTGTCGTTGTCGTCGTCCCAGTCCCACCTCGAACTGCCGCCGCCGCTACCAGGACCTCCGTCCGGACGAAGCCCCCACGTGGGCACAGCCCACGTCGGCCCAGCCCGCGTCGGCCCAGCCGAGGTCGGCGCAGCCCTCGTCGGGGGTAAGGTCTGTGGGTCCCACGTCGGCGTCCTGGTCGCGGGGCTCGGCGGGCTCGGCCCCTGCCCGGACTGCGGCGCCGAGGCCGTTGCGTCCGCACTGTCCGTCGTCTCGCCTGCTCGGCGGTGAAGGACCTCCTGCAGCAGGCGGTCGCTGGCTCGCGGCCCAAGCACGGCGGGGCGGGCGGTGACGGCAAGTGCCAGTACCACGACGAGCAGTGCGACGGCTGGGTTTCTGTCAAAGTAATATCAATTTTGAACCAGCCTCGTTCAACCCCTGTCACTGATGATATTCAGTGTTCAAACAACTATAGCGCGGAAGTATTTCTTTTATTGTATACAATTGTGTAATCGTAATTATCACTGCCTGCCAGTTACAGAGGACCTCTAATTTTCTGTTTATTACCTTGTGCAGATTTTCATGGTGTCTACGCTGATGTCCCCGTCCTAGTTCCTCTGGTGTCAGGCCGCTCAGTTGTTCTCTCCCGTTCGCTGCCGCTGAGTCATTACAGTCGATACGATTGCAGAGCTGGTATATATGGCAGCGATTCGCAACCTCCCACTTCACAACCACTTCAGACACCTGTCTTATCGGGGAACAGCTGACTGGGTCTGTTGGAAATAGTACCGTGCGCTTTCAGGCAGGGTTCGTCATTGTGACGGTGATGTCACTGAGCTCACAATAACGACTTTATTTTTGACATAAGCCTTCTGTATCGTTTTCTTTTTGATGTCTTTGTCATCGCCTACGTCATGCTGAGTGTATTTCAAAACTCTGAAGCATCGCAACAAATTCAGAGTAGTATACAGTTATTCTGAGACCAAGCGTGAATATTTATTTTTTTTTATAGCGGCTTTCAAACGGGCCGAATATCTACCCAAGCAAGGTTGAAATACATTTTTCACATTTTTAACTATAACTTAAAA